AGGCTGACCCAGAGAGCGTGGAAGGCACAGACTGCCACAGTGAGCATTGGCACAGTGGGTGTGGTAACTGTCATTGTGATGGGCATCGGTGCAGTGGGCACGGAGGGCACCAGGGGCACGGTGGGGATGATGGCGTGGTGGATGTGGAAAGTGTCAGCATGGCGGAGGTCAGTGCACAGGCGCGGTGGGCGACAGGGTGGTGGGTGTTCACACAGAGCTGTGGGCACGGTTGTGTGTTCTGCAGGCGTTGTGGGTGACCGGCTGGAGGCCCAGCAGAACTGGCATAGAGGGCGGCAGGCCTTCCCACCTCACCCACTGGCCAGCCAGAGGCCAAGGGGGCCAGGTGGAAGAGGGCAGTGCCCAGGGAGGCCCAGCCCAGTGGGGCAGCTGGCGGGTGGGGGCAGGAGGGAAAGTCCTGAGCTCTGACTGAGCCCCTGCGGGACTCCCAGGGGCCTGAGGGAGTGGCCTTGGGGGGGGGGGGCATCCAGACTCACGGTAACTGTGTCCCTGTCCACTCTGCTGGCCAGCCTGCTAAGCCTGCCTACCTGGCTCCACCCATGAGACCGATTCCTCCCTCCCACGTGTCTGCGGAGTCTCGCCGGTGGTGCAGCACGTCGGACACTGGGCTGCTACCCGCAAGGTGGAGGTTCAAAGCCACCAGCGGCTCGTGGGGAGGAGGCCAAGGCGCTGTGCTCTGTTGGGGTGACAGGCACAGACACCCTCACGGGCCGTCCTACTCGGCCGCAGGGTCGCTGGATTGAAACTCCCTGGATGGCAGTGAGCTGGGTGGGGGGGGGCTGGGGGGTTCTTGGGTGCCCTGGTGGCACGGTCAGAGAGTGACACCCACCAGCTCAGAGGTGGTCTGCTCCTGTGTCTGGGTCTCTGAAGCCCCACATAGGGCCCGGCCTGATGGCAGTGGGTTTGGGGTTCATGCGACTGGTTTGGTCCTGGACAGGGAGGAAGTGGGGGCACCCCACAGATGGCCACCGGCCTCCCGGACCGCGGCCCTGCCATTGGATGCCATGCTGCTGTGTGCTCGGGAAAAGTGCCGGTTAAGAGCTAGTCGTGAGCCCCAGCTTTGGGACCAGGTCAGGGCATGGCCAGCCCCCATGGCCCCACTATGAAGCCAGGAGCCCAGCGTCTAGCTGGGGACCTACACTCTGACGGGACATGTCCCCCATGGGGAGCTGTGGGGCCTGGGTATGGATGGGGCAAACTGGGGGCAGGACATGCCAGCCGGGAGTCTGCAGGGCATTGCTCCCAGCCCCCAGGAGCAAGAGTGGACCCACGGTCCTGGAGGAGCGGCCAGCAGGACTGGGGCTGCCCAGAGGAACAGGAGGGAGGGGCACAGCAGACATCACATGATGGACCAGGGAAGGGGTCCCGGGGCGCAGGAGTTTGGGCAGGAGGGAGAGGGGCCGGGGGCCTGCAGGGCCAGGCGATGCCTCAGTGGGACCCTCTTGGCAAGGGGCTTGAGTTTCTAGACTCCAGCCAGGCTGGGCAGCAGCAGCAGCTCTAGTTTCTGGGGGGAAAGGCCTCTCCCTACACCCCCAGGGGCTCCCTACTTCAAAGGGGCCGCCAGCTGCTGAAACCCAGGCTGTGGGGCATGAGCCAGCAAAGACTGAGGGCCTGCGCTATCCTGGGGCCCAGACCCAGGGATGGGGGCAGGGCAGGAGTGGCCGCCCCACAGAGAAGAGAGGCAGAGGGATACTGCCCCTGGGGGGGCAGGGGGCCAGGCCACTGATGTCATGGTGACTAATGAGGCCCACATGTCCAGCACAGCCTGGCTCAGCAGGTCCCTCCACCCCCCTGAGCCTCATGGGCAGTTGGTGCCTTGTGAGTGTCCAGGGAGCTGTTACCCCCACCCCATGTGTGCCTGCTCAGGGCAGGGCAGACCATGAGAGAGTGGGGAGGGGGAGCAGCTAACTGATGGGAGGGGCCCTGCTGGGTCCTCACCTCTGTCCCTTGGTGGCCCCTGAGCTCCCCCCTCCCGGCCCTGGAGGTGGTGTCCCACTCTGGGCCAACCTCTGGTCCCCTGGGCTGTTGCTAGGGGCTGCTAGTGGGACCACCCAAAGGGGGGCAGGATGATGTTGCCAGTCCCCTGCCCCATGAGAGGCAGCCGCTAAAGCAACCACCCTCCCATCTCCGGGCCAAGGGTCGGCCTCAGAGGGACGTGGGAAGCACTGGACAAGCATGGGGACCCCGTCCCAGGGGCCTCTCACCTTGGCTCCCAACCTTGAGGCCTTTCTGAGGGAGACATGGCGGCCGGCTTCCCACAGGGCAGGGACCTGGAGAGCCGGGAGGGAGGGCAGACATCACCCAGCATCTGCTCTTCCACCATATTCTGCCCTCTGACCCAGTTGGGGGGAGAGGATGAGGCTCCACCGTCTGAGGAGCAGGTATAGACCACGTGCAACTGCCCCACGGGGTTTCTGAGCCTGGAACTCTTTCTTACGGGGCAGAGACCTCTCCTTTCTTTCTCCTGCGTCCTCGCGGTGAGTAGTGTCGAACTGCAGACCTGGAAGTTAGCAGCCCGGTGCATAACCCACTGCGGCACCAGGGCCCGTCTGTCTTCAGAGCGCTGGCATACACCTAGGGGCTTTCTCCTCCTGAAGCGTGGCAGTCTTGGAAACTCAGGGGATAGGCCAACCCTGGCCTAGGGTCGCTGAGTCCACATGGACTCGGTGGCAGTGAGTTTGGTCGAGTGAGGACAGGATGCTGGCAGAGGCTGGGGAGCCCCACCTATTCATCAGTGCGCTCTGTGGCCATGGGGGGTGAGCCCTGGGACAGCGCTCCAGTGGACGGCTGGGCATTTTCCCCAAGAGGTCATGGGGGGCGGGGAGTGGGGAGTGAAGGCAGGCAGCATGCGTGGCCTGCTCAGTGGGAGAGGGGGGATGTTGGTGGCCTGTGTGGGGGACACTGGAGGGAAACTGCATCTGGGGGTCATTTCCCAGCCAGGTGGTCAGTGGGATGAGGGGCAAGAACAAAGACACACCCAGCTCCCCACCCCGCACAGTCCTGCGCCTCTGGCCTCGAGAATAGACAGTGTGAACTGGACCCTCAGGAAGAAGACAAAATCACACGAAGACTGGGGAGGTGCCCTGGCCTAGATCCCAGCCCGATGGCCTCCAGGGCTCCCGCTGCCCTGGCCCTGGCAGCCTCCCTGCGCCCTGTGACCCAGCAGGGAACACTCGATGCCTGCCAGCGCCATCTCTGACAAACATTCATTTCCTTTGCAGCCAAGACGCCCTTGCTCCTCAGGAAGCCGAGTGGCGGCCCAGCTGAGGGCTGACGCCCCAGGTATGTAGCACTCTCCCTGGCCCCAGGCTGGCCACAAGCCCGAGGCCAGAGACGCCTAGCCCCCGAGCTTCCTCTCTGTCTGCCACTGGCTTCCGACTCCCAGCTTGCCCTGGACGGTAATTGGGGCTGCCGGCTGCCTCCCCAGGGGATGTCTCTGGGAGCCAGCTGTCAGGAGCATGGCAGTGGAGCCCGCGGCTTCCTGCGGCCACCGGGCAGCACGCAAGGCCACATCCTACTCTGTTCCTGGCAGGGCTTTCTCAAACCCACAAACAGGGGTTCAGATCCTCTTTTCAGATGTCCGACTGCACTCCAGGGAGCCTGGGTGCACAGTGGGTTAGGCGCTGGGCTGCTAACCATAATGTCCCTGGTTCAAACCCACCAGTCACTCTGTGGGAGAAAGATGAGGTTGTCTGCTCCCATAAAAACCCACAGCCTGGAAACCCACAGGTGGTTCTGCCCTGCCACATGGGGTCTCCTGAGTCAGCATCAGCCTGGGAAAAAGGTGGGGGCCAGCCTCCTCTGGCTCTCGGGGGATGCTGAATGCCAGCATGGGGGAGAATTAGCAGCTGGCCGCCCAGCCCCCCAGCCCTCTCCCAGGGCCCTGTGCGGCCCCTGGGCACCTGGGCAAACTCCAAGATAGGACAGCCCTGCTTTCCCCTCCTCCCTCCATCCTGAGGTCAGAAGCCCCCACCTCTGGCCCCCCAACTGTCACCCACCTGTCCTCCAGGCAGGTGTCCTGAAAGGACATTCCTGCCCCCGGGAACCCGAGGTGGGCAGTGCTGGTCCAGAGCTGAGGTGCCCTCCATCCACCTGGGCCTAGGGCGGCCGGGTAAGCCTGGAGCTCACACGGATTTGTAGCAACACGCACAGAGGAGTGAGTGAGCACACTCAGCCCCCACAGCCATCCTGCTCCCCATGCTGGGGGAGCCACCCCACAGCCAAAGCAGAGCCCCACCTGGTGGCTGGGCGCCACCTGCTGTCCAGTACCGGAACTTCACCCACAGGGCGTAGCCCCTCCCCAAGTTAGTGTCCAAGGGGGTCTCGCTGGGCAGGGGTCCAGCGCTGGCAGAAATTCAGGCGCAGGCCTCTCCTTCAGGTGGTAATGTGGCCTCTTCAGGTGTGGGTGGGAGTCTCCGCTCCGTTGGCCAGCTCTTGGGTCTCGAAGCTCTGAGAGGTCTCCCGCCTTCCCCGTTGGCCAGCTCTTGGGTCTCGAAGCTCTGAGAGGTCTCCCGCCTTCCCCTCACCCGCCGCTCACGGTGCCTGGATGGGCCCAGAGGTCTTCCCTCAGCTGCCACCCCATGTGCTCCTCCCTCGAGGACTGGCAATGCAGCCATCCACACTCTAGTCTGAATTTGTCTGCGGTGACTCTGTCTCTCTACCTCACTCTCTGTATTCCCCCTCCCTATCTCCCTCTGTCTCTCTCTGTCTCCCTCTGTCTCTGTGTCTGTCCTGTTGGGGAGATGGGGAGACAGGTGCATCTGGCAGTACGCCAAATGTGGGTCTCTGTGCCCATCTCAGTGTGGGTGTCACCAGGCCCCCGGGCTCTGTCCCCACTGCTGCCTTCTCTTCCAGGCTCCATTGGGAGGGACCATGCGAGCTGGCTTCCTCGGGGCCCCCTGTGGTTCAAGGATGGCCCCCCACCCGGCCCCCCGAGGCCCCCAGAGACCCCCCGCATCCTCCTAGCATCCACACGAGCAGCCATGCCAGGAGAGCAGCCCCCTGGAGCACCGCGCCCACCATGAGCACACACCTGCCACCCCGCCCTGCCTCCCGAGACTCAGGGCGCCCCTCCCGGCCCCCCAGCAAGGACAGTGCCCAGGCCTGCAGGACCGCCGCAGGCACAAGGGGGGCGGGCAGCAGGGCCCAGGTGGCAGAGCTCCCCAGGCCTCAGCCGAGGCAGGCCAGCCCCGTGGAGCCCAGGAAGGAGGCCGGCCTCTCGGGGACCCTGGGAAAGGGCCCAGCACAGACTCTTGCCCAGCAGCCGGGCAAGGCCACGCATGGGGGTCCGCAGCAACTCTACAGGCTGAGCGTCAGCCCCTCCAAGGACAAGCGGGCCTCCGACGAGGGCCCCCAGGGCTGCCCACAGGGGGACCCCCTCACAGGCCAGCTCCTGGGGGCCAGTGATGTCCTGTCCACACCTGACGAGCTCAGCTTCCAGAGGGGCTTCCTGGAGGCACCCCCCAGAAGCTGTACCTCCACCGACTATACCTCAACCGGCCCTGCCCCTGGGCCTCCTCCCCTGGCGGCCCCCCAGCCCCCAGGGCCCAGCCCCTTCTCAGAGTCCCCAGCAGGCAGGGCTGACACCTGGGCCCCCGCTGCCCAGTACAGCTTCCCAGCTGCTACTTTTGGGGTCCCCTCCCCAGCATCTGAGCCCTTTCCCAAAGGTGCTACTGGGCCTGGGTCCTGCCCTGGGGGGCTCTCCTTTCAACCCTCCTACACGGGGCTGCCCGGAGCCGGCCCCAAGCCCTTCCCCACGGTGTCCCTACAGGAGCACACAGTCCACGGGGCCCTGGTACTGACCCTCCACCCAGCTCCACAAGGCTGGCCAGAGGTCCCAGGGGCTGCCCGACAGGCCTGTGCACAGCCACCCCCCCCACTGATGTCCTGCTACCAGGGCCCAGATACACCCTCAAATCTCAGCGGGGCTCACTCCCCGCCTGGTGCTGCCCACAGCCCCTTCCCCATCAGCCTGCACAAGAGCCTGCCCCCCACCCTACCTGAGAGGCCCCCGTCAGCCTCCAATGGAGTGGAGGGTCTGAGGGGACCCCCAAGCACACTGCCCCCAGTGCACTTTCTGGGCAAAGCCTACAATAGCCCCGGAGCCAGCAGTGTGGGCACCAGCCCAAGGGCCCTGGACAAGGAGCTGGCTGCCCCAGGGCACAGGGCCACTCCAGGGCCCCAGCTATGGGAGGGGGCACGTGAGGCCATGTCCCTTATGGACACAGCCCCCTTCCCTGCTGTGCCCCCAGCCCCACCGGCCACAGCCGGGGGCTCATTCTTCAAAGGCCACAATCTCTGTCTCCCGCACAGCCCCCCACTGCCCTGGTCCCCAGTGCTCCCTGCGGCTAGCTCAGGCCCCCTGCAGCTGCCAAACCAGCTGCCCTACCCCGCCGGGGCCCCTGAGTGGCCGGGCAGCAGCCATGCGCCCGGCCCACTGGAGAAGTTGGCAGCCCCAAGGACTGGCCCCAGGACCCCCAGCAGCAGCCCCCCCGGGTTGCTGTCACGTAGCAGCATCCAGGATGCCGGTGCCCAGCCCCTGTTTTTTGGGGTGACCCCTCCCCAGGCTTCACCTCGAGGGACCCCTGGCCTGCCCCCACCCAGAGGGGTGGGCCCGTCCCCAAGTGAGTCCCCGCTGCCCTCTCCGGCCACCACTGCGGCCGGCAGCAGCTCCTGTTCGTCCTTGTCACCTCTGTCCAGCAGTCCGGCCAACCCCAGCTCAGAGGAGGGACAGCTGTCCGGCCCGCTGGGACCCCCTGCCTTCTTCCACACCCCAAGTCACCCCCAGGAGGGTGGCAGCACCTTTGCAGCCTCCGAGCCCTTCCCTGCCGGCCCCTCGAACTTCCAGCCGGGCCCCAAGGCCTTCCCCTTCCCCACCACTGAGACATTCCAGTGCCTTCGGGTGGCACCCCTTCCCCACCAGGAGCCCGCCTTCCCCCAAGAGCCGCCCCCCTATGCCGCCCACCACTTTCCTCTGAGCAGCGCCAGCCTGGACCAGCTGGATGTGCTGCTGACATGCCGGCAGTGTGACCAGAACTACAGCAACCTGGCCTCCTTCCTGCACCACCGCCACTACTGTCCCCCGCGGCCCCCAAGCCCCGCGCCACCCGGGCTGGCCACGACCAGGGCCCCAGCCGACACACAGCACACGGGCCTGCTGGGCCCCCACAAGCTGGCCAACTTCCTGCTGGATGGGGACGTCCTGCAGGGCCTGGCCCCTGCGCCCCCGCCGCTGCCAGCCTCCGACTTGGACCTGGAGGACGTGGCCAAGCTGGACAGCCTCATCACCGAGGCGCTCAACGGCCTGCAGGACGCCCCCGAGATCGACAGCAGCTTCATCGACGTGTTCGCCGACGACGACCCTTTGGGCCTGAGGGTGCCCAGCACTGGGCAGGCCCCTAAGACCCGGGCGGGGGCCACTCCCGAACCCAGAACTCAGGTCCCGCCCCCTGCCCTGGCGCTCACACCCGAGCCCCAAACCCCCAGCCCTGAGGCCAAGGAGGATTCCCTGCCCAGCCCCCGGCCCACAACCCGCTCCCAGAAGGGCCCATCCCACCGAGGCCAGCACTGCCAACTGCACCCGGAAGGGCCGGGCGTGCTGGGCTCCAGGACCGCGGGGCTGCGGCCCCGGAGGAAAGGTGGCCAAGTGGAGGTGCCCTCGGCGCCCGTGAGGAACCTCCGGACCCAAGCCTCCAGGGGCCACGCGGCGGCACCAAGCACCAGTGCCCTGCCCAGGCGGACCCGCAGGGCCCGGGGCAAGCCTAGCCGGCGGCGTGGCCGGGCTGGCCGCTGGAGCAAGGAACTCATCCACAAGATTGTGCAGCAGAAGAACGCACTGCACCGACGGCGGGGGCGGGGGCGGGGTCCCCCCACAGCGTCAGGGCCCCCAGCCCGCCCCGCCCGAGACGGCAACTACAGCTCAGGGTCGGAGGATGACTCAGGCCCCAAGGCTCCACCTGGCCCTCCACCGCCATCAGCTGGTGCCAAAGGCCGGCGCCGCCTGGCACGGCATCGAGGGGATAGGCAGAGGGGCCTAGTGGGACCCCTGGACCACTGCAAAGAGGGGGTGCAGCAGCAGGAAGCTGAGGCAGCCGGGGGCTCCCCAAACCTAGAGTCTCCCGGTCCGGCTACCCCAGGCCCATTACAAAGCCCTGGGCTTGGGGAGCTTCAAAGACATGACTCCCACACAGGGGCTGACCCACGGACCCCCAAAGAGAATCAGTTCCCAGAGACCAAGCTTCTTGACGAGGTGTCCAGCCACACCGCCCCAGAGCAGCCCCCACCCACTCTAGAAGAGCCCGGCTCCCAGGCACCAGGAAGCCTGACTAGATGGGGCTCTAGGGAGCACCTCTCACCAGCCAGTGTGGACAGCTGGCCCCTCGTCGACCGTGGCCCAGCAGCTGCCCCCAGGCCCCAGCCAGGAGATAGGCAGATGACAACTGACTGTACCCCAGGGGCTGCCCAGCACTCGCCCCTCACCCTTGACTGGAGTACTGCTCACAGTGCGGAAGACTGTGGGGGTGGTCCAGTGGCCGGTGGGAGGCCCCCTAGAGATTCCCTCCTGGGGCCCAGCGAGCTGGCTGTCCCCTGCGGGGAAGGCTTGGCCTCCAAAGACTTGGCTGTGGACAGTCCAGGCGGCAGCCTGTACTTGTGCCGGGAGAGTGTGGACATGCATCCCCTCGGGCCAAGGTCTCCTGGGAGTGCCCCCTCCCCAGCTGACGCCGCACAGCCCCCACTGACCCTGCAGTCCACCTCGCTCCTGGGCAGGCTGCCTGTGGAGGACTTCGACCCCCTGACGTGTGGCATCCTGCTTGCCCCCAAGAACAACCCCTTGCCCTGCTCCTGTGCCACCCTGTGCCCGGGGCACTGGCCAGTGCTGGAGGACCCCCTGGGAGGAAGGTGGGAGCATCTCGATGAGGGGCGGCCTGCACCCTGCCCATCCCCAGCTCTGGGGAAGGGTGCCGAGGGGGGTATCCCGACAAGCAGCCCCCCAGAGGCGGGCCTGGAGATCAAGAGGCTGGTCTCAGAGTTGGAGACCCAGCTGCAGGCCAGTGCAGGCCAAGGCCAGCCCCCCCGGCCACCGAGCACAGAGCCCAGGGGTGGGGGAAGCTCAGAGCAGGGCTCACACCAGCCCCCCGAGCCCCAGGCAGACCTGCTCTGGGCAGATGACCTGGCCGGTCTCAGAGGGTCAAGCCCACCCCAGACTGTGGCAATGGCCCTGCACCCTGGTATCCAAGACGATGCAGGGTCTGTAGAGGGAGCCAGCCACACTGCTCAGCCGATGACGGCACAGGTGACCAGCGTCCAGAGGATGGAGCCCACCCAGATGGACAGGGACAACGGGGCCTTGCTAGGCACCAGTTTGCCCAGCCCCTTCAAGCTGCCCCCGCCTGGGCTAGACACAGAGAGCTTAGCAGGATGCAGTCCAGACCTAGAGCCTTGGAGTCTTAGGACCCCCAAGACCCCCAGAGCACAACCAGAATGGGGTGGGGGGCTGTCCCTGGGGTTCCTGGAGGCTGAGGCCTCCCAGTCGATGGCATGCAGCAGTCCCACGGCCCCTCCCACACCTGAAGTGGCAAGTCACTGGGCGTGGGGGACACCCCCCTCTGGTGCCAGACACAGCCAAGCCCCCCAGGAACACTCTGTGGGTAATGAGGGGACCCAGCCAGTGGAGGTGCAGCCCTGCCCTGCCCAGGGAGCAAACACTGAGCTAGGAGACAGGCCCCAAGCCCCAGTGTCCAGGCCCCTCTGTCAGGGGCAGCTCCTGGTGGCCAGAGCTGAGAACAACAGTGGAGCCCAGGGCCCTGCACCCAGCCCAGGAGGGGACGACGTAGCCCAGGGCGCTGAAGGATGTGTACAAGGGACAGAAACAGGTGGGTGCCAGGACCCCATCGGCCCATCTCCAGCACCAGAGCCAAAGGGCCAAAGCCAAGCCAGCCAGCGGCAGCCAGAGGAGCAGGGGATCCTGGAGGAGGGGTCTGAGGCCAAGGCCAAGCCGGGAGCCTCACTGACTCGGCATGCCGGGGGGCAGCTGGAGGGAGGCAGGGCAGTCTGGAGCCTTCAATGCAAGGCAGGGGACCCACCAAGTCCAATCCTGTCTGAGAAGAAGACCTCAGTCCTGGCCCTAACAGCTGCCCATGCCCTAAGTGGACTCGAGGACCAGGTTGCAGCCAGGGTGGCCAGCCCGGGCCCCAGGGAGCGACTGCCATCAGCCGGGGAGAGCCCAGGGTGTCCTGTCAGTAGCCAGGCCCCCTGTGGCACCTCGCTTGCTTCTGCAGACCCCCAGGGGCCGCGAAGCCCTGGGCACCCACCCAAGAGGGACCTCACTGTGCCTGCAGGCGCCTCAGAGGTCCGAAGTGACCCGGGGGGGCCACCCCCAGCCTCTCCATCCTTCGGGGATTCCCTTTGCTCACAGCATCTGCCAGCCCCTTCCCCCATCCAGGCACCCCCTCAAAGGGCCAGCTGCTCCTCCAGCCCCACTGATGTTGGGAAAGAGCAATGCCCAGCCAGGCCCCCAGCAGACAGGACCAGTCCCTGGGGCCCCTCGGGGGCAGACAGTGACCCCTGTGTGGATGCTCTCCCAGGGGGCCAGGCAGGCTCAGAGTGCAGCCTTGACCCTGGAGGGCACTGCCCCAGTGGCAGCATCCCCAGAGCACTAGAAGACCCCGGAAGAGCGAGGCTAAGTGGACCTCCTGCCCAGGCAGCCCTTTCCCCACCAGCCGCACCTGTCTCCTCGAGAGAGACCAGCAAGGTCCCTGGGCGTCCCCGAGCTCCTGCTGCAAAAGAGGAGGTGGCCCAAGGGCCTCAGACACTAGACCCCCAGGTTGTGTCACCAGGGCCCTGCTGTCCCTCCTCGGGGCCCCCTGACCCGGAGGAAAGCCCTCCTGTCACAGCCAAGTACACAGGCATGGAGACCACAGGGTGGGGTTCCAGTGCCCCCCACCAAGCACCTAGGGGAGGACCCCTGTGTCCTCAAGAGCCCCAGCAGAGGCCCCGGGGTGTTCCAAAGAAGTCCCGGCCCTCAGGGTCTGGCCAGCAGAGAGGAGACCCCAGTCCAACGGTGACCCCTGTCTTCACTTGCGGGGTCTGCAGCTCCACTTTCCGCTCAGGGCCAGGCCTGAGTCGACACAAGGCCAGGAAACACCTGGGCACCCCCTCCCAACCTCTCCAGGCCGGCCACCCAGCCCCAAGGGGCCCAGGGCCAGCAGCCAGTCCTGCCCACACCTTCTTTCTGGGGAGAAAGAAGGGCCGAAAGGCATTCTCCAGGAAAGAGAGTTTGGAACCCGGCTCCCACCAGAGCCCCTCCGAGGACAGGCTGGGACCAGAGATGCCCACGGGAGCTGGGCCAGAGCTCAGCGTCCATGGAACCCCAGGCCCATCACTTCACCTTCAGCTGTGGACACCAGCCCTGCTCGGCCCAGCACGCCACGTCCCCAGGCCTGGGAAGGCTGACAAGCGGCTCACAGAGCCCCAGGGAGCCCAGAGACAAAGCAAAGAGCCAGGGGGGCTCCCCAGCGACTCAGAGGGAAGGCCAATGCCGAGGGGGAGGAAGGAGAGCAGGAGAAGGTTCCAGAAGGAGAGAAGAGCTTCTGGCTCATGGGAGAGGCGTCCCAGAGCTGATTCTGATGTCGTTCCAGATAGTTGCCGCTCACATCCATCAAACTCGCCTGCCCATCACCCCCCCCTGCCTGGTTGCTGCCGGCCAGTGGAGGAAGGAGAGGTGGATGGGAGGCAGCTGCCAAGATCTGCCACCAGGGGGACCAAGGATATGGGGGATGCACAAGGAATGTGGCCAGAGCAGCCACCATTGGCGGAAGAGACAGGAGCTGGGAGCCCACTCAGAGACGGGGAGAGCCCCCCTCTCCAGGCGGAGCTGGATGTAGCAAGTGGATGCTTGGGGCCCAGGGAGCCGAGTGGGGAGAAGCCTGTGCAGGCAGCTAGGGCCAGGGCTGCAGGCGGCAGCAAGGGGCCCAAGAGCCGGACAGGGAGCTGCATGGTGAGGGCACCGAAGCCCCCGTCGGAGTCCCCGGATGCCTCCAAGCCTCCTGCCTCCAAAACCAGTGGCCACGAGGACTTCCTAAGCCCCCCAGAGGCCAGGGCCCACGTCCAGGAGCTGCAGGTCAGCGCAGCTGGGGCGTCCCCCCAGGAGCTTGAGGGGGGCCTGGACCTGTTGGAGGCCTCGTTCTCTCTGCTCTTCCCTCTGGACGGTGGTTTGATGCGGAAGAAGAACCCTCGAGTCTACAGATCTTGCAGGAAGAAGGCAAAGCCATCACCACCCCTGGAGCTGCACTGTGAGGTGGGGGAGCTCTCCGCACCAGGTGCAGCCAGGCTGCCCACAGACCTGCCTGACTGCGGCTCTCCCTGTCTGTGCCCCCAGGAGCCCTGGGCAGAAGACCTGGAGGACGGTTTCCTCAGCGGGTTCAAGCCCTGGACTCCGGACATCAGCCTGTGGGCCCTGGAGCTCCCTGAGGAGGGGACCTTGCTGGGGAAGGAGGAGCCAGAGGACCTCCCGGAGCTGCACCGCATCCCGGCCGCCTGGAGGAACCTGGAGCTTCGGGACCCCAGCGATCAGCCCTCCTCTCTGGGGGAAATGAGCCCTGAGCCCCCCAGCCTGGAGAGGGAAGGTGGGGGTGTCGAGGACCTCGAGAGCGCAGGCCCGCTGCCTCCCCCCGCGCTGGAGCTCAGCGCACTTGACATCAAGTTGGAAGCGCAAGCCCTGTGCCTTCTGGGACCCCATGAGGACCACAGGGGGCTCCCCAGCCCCAGCGTTCAACACTCCCAGGAGGGAGGGAGTTTGCAGGGTCTGGGGGGCGGGGGAGGGGAGCGCCAGGCGCGCGCGCAAAGGGGCGCCTACAAGTGCCGCGTGTGTTTCCTGCGCTTTGGCGGCCTGGGGGAGCTGGATGCGCACAAGCTGACGCACAGCCCCTCGCCGCCCCCCACCTGCTACATGTGCGTGGAGCGCAGGTTCGGCTCGCGCCAGCTGCTGCGCCAGCACCTGCAGGAGAGGCACGTGCAGGGCCAGGCTGGGCTGTGGGCCTGCGGCATGTGCCGGAGCAGCGTGCCCGACGTCTGGATGTACAACGAGCACCTGCGCGAACACGCCGTGCGCTTCGCCCGTCGCGGCCAGGTGCGTGCCACCCTGGGCGACCTGTCCGGCCATCCCTCAGAGGGCAGCCTACCCCCGGGCATCCTCGGCAGCATCGAGGGCCACGTGCCCCGTCCGCACGGCGGCCGGCGCGCCATCCCCAAAGCCAACAGGCGCTCGGGTGAGACCCCAAGGGGGTCGACGAGGAAACCCAGGGCTCCCCGGCCCAATCCCTTAGACCAAAGTGGCTCGGCGGCGGCGGCGGAGGGTGGCGGCTCAGACATCGCCCACATTGCGACCAGCGAAAGCCCACCCAGCCTCGCGCCACACAGCGTGTCCCCCGGCCCTGCGTCGCGCGGAGGCGCGCCGATGCCGGATCCGTCGCGCCACTGCCACCATTGCGGGAAGCAATTCCCCAAGCCCTTCAAGCTGCAGCGCCACTTGGCCGTGCACAGCGGGCAGCGCGTCTACCTGTGCCCGCAGTGCCCGCGCGTCTACGCCGAGCACGCCCAGCTGCGCGCCCACCGCGCCCGCGAGCACAGCGCTGGCGATGAGCCTGAGCGGCCGCCTACCCCACTCTTCACCTGCGAGCTCTGCGCTGCCGTCATGCGCGTCATCCGGCGAGCCTTCGCCTGCAGCACCTGTAACTACACCTTCGCCAAGAAGGAGCAGTTCGACCGCCACATGGACAAGCACCGCAGGCCCGGCCGGCAGCCCTTCGCCTTCCGAGGCGTGCGGAGGCCCTCAGGCCCGGGAAAGAGGACTCTGGCCAGCGAGGGGACCGGGCCAAGCAAGAGGCACCGTGTTGCCTTTCCAGACGACACTGGGGTCCCCGTGGACGGGCCTCAACCCTCAGGCAGCAGCCCCACCCCGGGCGCCGTGTCTCCCAAAGACCTGCACCTACCCTGCCCAGAGCCGGCTCCTAGCCCGGCTCAGGGACAGTCTCCAGGCCCGGAAACCCCTCTGGGAAACCCGCTGCCTGCCAGCAGGGAGTCTCTGCCCCTGCCTTTGTCTCCCAGCAGAGGTGGCAGAGAGGGTGGGACTTCCCCTTCCAGCCCTCCTGCACCCGTCTGCCTGCACACTGGCCCACTGGGGTTGTCCCTGTTCGCGCCAGGACCCGGAAGTGGCGACTTAGAGAAGAAGGTGGCCCCCAGCTCCAGGAAGCACAGGTCCCCAGGTGCCCCCAGAAAGTGTTCCCCTGATAGGTCCACAGACAGTATCCTCCAGACCCATAGAGACAGAGAGGTGCCCTGGAGCCACATGGTGCCCGAGGGGGATCTGGGAGACTCCGCCCACAAAGTGGGTGCTGCCAAGGCCAGGGGCTCCCCAGAAAGAAAAGCACCTGTGGTCTCGGTAGTATCAAGGAAGGTTGCCCCAAGTCTGGCCCCCACAGAGCCAGCCCGAGACGCTGAGACCAGGCTGAGCCCCAGCACCCCCAAAGCCAGGCCGGACCCCAGCTCCCAGAATGGTGGGGACACCCGACGTGGTGCCACAGCCTGGGGGGGCAGCCAGCCCCAGCCAGCCAGTGGGCAGCTCCAGAGTGAGACAGCTACCACTCCTGCCAAACCCCTGCTCCCAGCTCTAGCCAAGGGCCACAGCCAGGGATCCCGAGGCAGCCTGAGCCCCCTGGGGGGCAGTGGAGGGAGGAGGAGGGGCCGTGCCCCAGGGTCCACCAGGAGCGAAAGCTTTAGGGGCCTGGGGAGAGCCCCCTTGGTGCTTGAGAGGCCCCACCGGAACCCCCGGAAGCAGGCAGTCCCCAGCCGAGTGCCCCCAGACAAACCCCGACTGAGCAGCCAGACAGACAAATTCCCTGAACGCCAGAGGGGGCTGCCCAGCCTCGGAGGCTTCCAGAGGAGGAGGAAGGGGCTGGACATGGCCGTCCCCCAGAAGAGGGCTGTACATGGGTCCCCCAGGAAGGACAAAGCTGTCCCCCACTGTCCCCAGGCCCTCCGTACCGCCGAGTCACAGAGCCACCTGCTCAGCCAGCTCTTTGGGCAGCGACTGACCAGTTTCAAGATCCCGCTCAAGAGAGAGCCCACCGAGTAGCATGCAGGGGGGAGGGCAGGGAGCCGGACCCCACTGAGGGGCCTGGGTGCAGAATGGGGAGCCGGACCCCCGCCAAGGAGCCTGCACAGTCACCGTGTAAAGGAACCAGGAGCCTAGGCCAGCTCCCACAGCCCCTGGGGTAACTCACCAGGTGGTCTTCTGCCCTTTGACTTCCTGGGCTGCCTCCTGCCAGGTGTGGGGCTGAGAGAGCCCACTCTCTGCTGGAGGACTAGGGTCAGGGCGGCCAGCTACAGACCCCGGGTGGCAGGAAGCCCCTGAGAGCAGTCCAGCCCCTGGGGGCACCAGGAAGGGCACTGGACAGCCCCCTGGGATAAAGCTTGCACAGGGCTTCCTCAATGGTCCGCCTAGCAGGGAAGACAACCAAAGGGCCAGTCAGGGGAGGCCCCCCCCAGTCTTGCTGCTGCTGCTGCTGCTGGAACTCCAAAGTGACCTTAGAACCCACAGGGGGGTGTGGTCCTGGGAGGCTATGCAGAGCTACCAAAGCTCCCCACAAACAAGTTTAGTGCACAGACGTCCCACTACTACCCCGTGCTGACCACTGCCTCCTGTGCCCTGAGAGCCCTGAGGCCAGTTTGCACGTGGAACAAGGGGGACACTGCCCATCCCCTGCAGCACCTCTCCCCCAGCCCTCCCTCTCCAGGCCCTTGCCCCTGCCCTCTGCTCCTGCAGCTACCTGGTTCAGAGCCTGTCTCCGTGGGAGCAAGCACGCTAGCTCGGAGTATCAGTAACCTTATTCACAAGTTTCTGGTGCTATTTTCAAGTAGTAATGTGAACACAGACCTCCTTGAAGTTGTTTTCCTTTTTGTTTGTTGTTTTTGCTTCTAACTGGGGTGGTGGGAGGGGCCAGGGGTGCCCCAGGAAGACTTTTGCCCAGATCAAAGAGGTGAGGCAGTGCCCACAGGCCTCCCCGGCCCCGCCCGACCCCAGGGACAAAACAGTGAGGGCTGCCCCAGCCAGAGAGGAGTCCTGGGGGTGGTGAGGAGGGCCAGACAGTGACAGAGCCCTCATTCACTGACCAGTGCAGAATGGCATGTGTAAAGGCCCGGGAGGTCACGCTGCTCACCGACCCACAGTCCTGTTCTCTCTTTGACTTTTTTATTTTTAAACTCTTGGTACAATCTGTATGTCCAAACAGGTTTTACTCAGATATCTTGAAAGAAGCCAGAGGGCACAGGCCGCCTTCCAGGGAGGTGGTGGGGGTCCTGCTGAAGCCCGGTGTGGAGCCCAGAGATGATACTGTCCTTCCAAATACAGTCCTATTTTCACAAGGCTCCTGTTGTCCTGGTGTCTGTCCCCCACGCCTGGCAGACCCCACCCACAGCACTGAGGCCCAAGCCCCTCCCGAATCTGCCCTCAAGACAGAAGGGTCTCAATGGCATAGCCCCACCCCCAGCCCCTGCTGAGCTCCCACACCAGGCTGAAGACAAACTGTTGGACAGCACAGGGAAACTGTCAGGCCCAGGGGGAGAACACGGGGCCTTTCCTTCAGGGGGTCCTGAGGGGGAGGCAGGGAGGAGGGGGAAGGTGGAAGGGAAGGAGGAAGACAGGGCATGGTTCCAGGGAGGGAAGGGCAGAAGCCCAGGTGACAGTGAGCTCGGGCCCCTTCCCTACAGGGCCCCACTGCAGGCCACACTGGCCCCCTCCAGTTGCCCCCCCCCCCCCACGCACCGGCAGCTTGCTGTGGAAACTGAGCCTTCCCTTGGAGGTCCACCGGTCCATGAGCCCCACTGTCCACTCCAAGTCTCTGTGGGGACCCCGAAGCAGCCCAGGACGCACGGAATCCTGACGCCTGCTAGGAGGGTCGGGATGCGTGGTGAGAGCTGACCCCCTGCGCTACCGCGGCCTGGCCGCCAGGTGGCAGCACCCACCCGGCTCCCGGGGCGGCCCGGCCGGGCTCTGCGGGGACCCGCTGGCAGCTGCTTCAGGCCACGCCAGCGCGCGAATGGACACACGGACAGGGCCCAGCCTTCCCGCCCGCTCATAGGGCGCGCGCCCTCCGTGGGCTCGGCTCTACCGGGACCCCTCACCGCAGCCTGAGCGCAGCGGGACCCACAGACCCCCAACCCCAACCCCCAGCTGGGCTCCGCGAGGGAGGCAGGCGATTCCTAGCAGGTGGTTCCTAGCACCCGCTCCCCCTTTATATTCAACTGGGAAAGTGGAGGACGAGGGGAGGGGGAGCCGGGGACCAAGGTTCACAACAAGGTCCCAGCCCCCAGGGGGCCACAGAGCCCTTGAGGACCTAGGGATCCCAGGCAGTGGGCCTCTAAATGGGCAGTCAGTCTAGAGTGGGGGTGGGGGGCCGGCAGCCCCAGGTGGCAGTGTGGGGCCTGCTCATGCTCTGTCCCAAGGCTGTGTCCCTGGCCTCTTCCCAGCCCTCCATCTCCTGGTCTGTGGAATGAGTCCCCCACCTGGAGGAGCTGGTACTGCTGACCTCACTGGCTACGGGCCTGCACCCCTCCCACTCCCTTGGCTAAGCAGCCCTGCGCTTCCTCACAGCAGGGGTTCCCGGGCTCCGGATGTGAGAGTTTCCAGAGAGAGCTGCGGCCTGGCGGAGTCCAGAAGACACCATTGGTGGAGCAAAGGGAGCAGAGATGGGGTTTCTCTCTCAATGGGAGGGGTCTCGCAGAGGGGGGCCTGCAGTCAATGGATGCATTGAGTTATGGTGCTGGGGAAGAACATGGAAAGGGGGGGGGGCGTAAAAATACAAAAAAAAGAACATGGAGAGTCCTGTGGACTGCCGGAAGGACAAACACTAGCCTCAGAAGGACAGCTAGAGCACTCCTGAGAGGCTTTGTCCAACCTGCTTTGGACGTGGCCAGGAGAGACTGGTCCATGAAGAAGGACACCATGGCTGGTGAAGTGGAGGGGCGGCGGAAAAGAGAAAGGCCCCAGATGAGATGGACAGACACAGTGGCCACAATGAGGGGCTTGAACATCAGAATGAATATGGGGACAGCGCGGGGCTGGGCCTGGTGGCGTCTGTGGGGTCGCTAAGAGAGCCGGGCCGGTTCGTGTTTGTGGGGTCGCTACGAGTTGGCACCGGCTCGATGGCATCTCACACTGATCACCACAACCTGGGACATGCAGATAGAAGGAGCTCAGAAGCTGCCAGCACCCAGACTCTCACCACCAGCCCCCGGACCCCTTGCTCACTAACCCAAAGAACTAGAACAGGAACTCTGGGAGTGTGGTCCTTCTCATCCAAGGGCTAGTGACCCAGAAAGACCTGTCCACCACACCCCAGGTGTGCCGGGTGAACAGGGACAGGGTGAGTATCACAGACCATCGGCCCAGGAGCCCTGGCTCACAGAGCCCCCCTTGTGTCCCAAGGGGGGTAAGGTCTCCCTCCAGTCTTTCTTCCGAGACCCCTGATGTGGAGCCTGGAACTCCAGCCTCAAGCCCAGGAGCCCAGCCTAGCGTCAGGACACAGTGGGATGGCTACATGCATGGGCAGGGCAGGGCTGGCCTCAGGTGGATGAGCAGAGGGTGAATTTTGATGCAGCAGCTGGTTCTGAAAAGAGGCTGCCTGCCGGGCCCCCACCTGGGCCCTCTTTCTGCCACCCCACATAACCCCGTCGGAGCCAGTGGAGATCAGGCAAGCCCCCACCTGGGGACAGAGACCATCTGAGACCCAGCATCCAGCCTGCTGCCCAGGGGCCAGACAGGGGGAGCCCTGAGCTCCTCTCCACTGGCTTCTAATTCTGATGTTAATTTATTTTGACATCCTCACTGCTGTGGTGTTTAAAACTCATTATCCCACCATTGAAACCGGAAGTTAATTAAAGCCTTTGCAGAGCAGAGGCAGCTGACAAGTGTCAGGATGCCCCTGGGGGGG